CTTCCAGGCCCTCTCACCAACCGGCAGCAAGGAGCCTGGCCAAATCCAGCACCCTGTCTGCTGTGAATGTCCTGTTGACGTCAGATGCCCCACGAGCAGACCCCACCTGGGGCCCAGACTCTGTGCTGCCTGCTACACGCTTCCCAGAGTGTGGGACACAAAGTCCATACAAGCTGGGAAGGCCCTGCCCCGTGCCCCAAGGCACAGCCCTCGCCGACTACCATGAGGCAGCCTCTCCTGACCTGCCCATCTGATGTGACGATGCTTTTCCAAGTGGCAAATGAATCCTGGCAGACCAAAAGCCATTTTAAAAGTACACTTTGTAAAAAACCCTGTGCTACAGCACATTTCATTTATTAATTATGCTATGGATTAGGGATCAAAGTGGTAGAAATCTCCGTGTACTCGAAATAAATGGCTTTTGTGGTTACCTAAATCCTCGGAGTCCCCTGGAATGTAACTCCTTAGGCAAAAGCAGCTTCCAAGACTCCCCAGGCCCCACCTCCAACCCCCACCCCCAGCCACAGGGGAGGGCGATTACTCAGCATCAGACCTGCATGAGGCAATGATCTGGGCTTTTAGCCTTTTATACTTGCCTGAAATATGGAAGGGTTCCTTTTGAATTTCCCTCTTCGCTATGGGTTTGCCAGTTGTATTCCTGAATCTCAAGCCCTTCCCCTCTCCTTCCTCACCTTTCTCTGAGCCCAGAAAAACATGGGGACTTGAGTTCCAGGTGACTGCCAACGGGATGCGAGGCTGTACTACAAAGCACGCAAATCTTCTTAGCCTGAAGACTGGGTTTGGAATCTTGGCTCTAACTACTGGCCTTGTAAATTACCTAACTTCTTAAACTGGGGTTTTCTTATCTCTAAAACAGGGATAAAAATCACCAACTTCAAGGGGGACTTGCCAGGAACACTAATGAGACAAAATATAGACAGCTCCGTCCCAGCATCGGGAGCCCAGTCACTGACAAAATGTGACCAAGAGCTGCCACTGCCCCCGCGCTTGCACATTTGCCGGAATACGTTTCTGCACTGAAAGCTGCATCTGGCTCTCAGCGGGCTGCTCTGAACCGTATTTCAACTGCAGTTTAAAACTGACCACCTGGCTTAGATTCCTACAAAAGACCGATTTCTTGAGTTGCAGCTCTCAGACAAGCCTGTTGTCCCAGCAAGGAGTGTTTGCAGATTCTCAGCTACCCAGAATCTGAACCAAAATAAAATGGTGACCAATCTGGGTGCATGAAAATATAAAACCTACATTTAAAAAATCTATTTAAACGAAGCTTTAAAACATCACGGACTAGGAGCAAGCATTTCCAAAACATAGAACAAAAATGCCAATACATACAAAACAGTTCCTAGAAATCAGTAACAGAGAACTGACTGTGAAATAAAAAAGGATTCCATTAGACAAGCCACAGAGACAACAGCCCTAAAGAAAAAGTCTTACACAGGTACCTACATGCACCTGGCCGGGATGGCTGCTGTGGTAGTCTGCAATCTTAAATAAATAAGGACCCATGAAACCCTGCTTCTACATGACCAAAAACACAGAAATGGAAATCCGTAGAATATTTGTGCAAAAGAATACTACAAAACAGTTAAAACGGATGAACAAAAGCTTGTGGCAGAATGGTATATGGAAAATAAACCAGCCAACATGAACCTTAAAAATCACTAACATTAATCATAACGTATTGTCAATCAACACACGTATGTGTCAAGGTTCCTGATACTCATACGGGAGATCCACATGGAATTCTCGGCTCCTGGCTTAAGTCTGACACAGCCCAGCTGTTGTGGACATTTGAGAAGAGAAAGTTTCTTCTCTCTCTCTCTCTCCCTTCTGAATCAATCAAAAAATTTTAGGAAAGGAAGGAACCCCTAGGTTCCTGGTGCAGCAGGGGCAACACCAGCCTAATCTGGTGTGTGAACTGCAGTGCAGGGGCAGGGTCCTGGGCTTGCCCACTTGGCAGCCATGCAGCCCTGCTCATGCCATACTGCCCTGTATGAGCTTCAGTGTCCTCATCTGGGAAACAAGAGAGCATCTTGGGGTGTTGAGAAGACTAACCCTGCCGGCTACATCAAGTACTTAGAACAGTGCTTGGAACTAAGTATGTGCTTAGCAAACATCCGACATCATCCTGGTTTGCTGCTTTCATGTCCCAACTCCTCAGTCAGCAAAACCAGGTTCCCTTTTGATGCGGAAATTCAGGGATGACGCCTGACAAACAAGGGAAAGGCCTGCAGACAGGGGCCAGTGCCAGGTGTGCAGTGTGTGAGCCTGCAGCCGCTGAGCCTCCAACACAGCACGTGACCAGGAGTCAGAGGTCCCAGCCCCTTCCCCTTTAACCCCTGTTCTGACCTCTGTGATCTCAGGCCCGGACCCAGCAGGATCCCGATAAACCACACCCTTGCTCCATATCCAGCAGGCTCAGCTTTGCCAACTGAAAACCTCCGGAGGAAATTCACATAGGCATCCAGACACCAGGGCACCGGGCCAAGTCCAGCCCTGCTGGCCTCCGGATGCGGCGCTGGCCGGCCACCCCTGGAGCCCCAGCCCACTTCCCGCAGCCCATGGCCTGCCCTCCGGCTGCCTGACAGACATCCTCCCTGCCCACTCACTCATTCCACACAGCCGTCCAAACACGCTCCAGCTCGCCCCATGTCCTTACTGCCCATCCATGGGATTTCTTTTCCAAATCGTGTTCTCAAACCCAACCACGAGACTGTTGGCAGGAGAGTGGTGCTTGCGCCTCGCGTCAGGCCCCAGCTCACAGGCATCACGGGGTAAGAGGTAGGCTCAGACGGAAGCAAAGAAAGCACCCTTCTTGCACTCAAAGTTTAGATTACAATCAAGTTTCACCCTCTTCAGCAACATGTTGATTTTTTTTTAATCCAGCCATTGTTACAAAGGCATTTATTTATTTGTTTTCATTCTATTTAAAAGGCAGAGAGATTTTTCCATGCGCTGGTTCACTCCTCATCTGCCTGCCATAGCCAGGACTGAGCCAAGAGCAATTCCATCTGGCAGTCAAATGCAGATGGCAGGGGTCCAAGTGCCCAAGCCATCACCCGCTGTAGTGGCAGGAAGTAGGATGAAAAGTGAAGGCAGCATTCTGCCAGGCAGGAGAACAGGGAATGCTGGTGCCCAAGTGGCGCCTTCACAGCTGGGCCCCACAGCTACACTGTTAAATAGACATTTGTTAACGGGAACGAAGGAGAAATGTGGAGACTACACGCGAGGTCAGAGGTCTCACGTTCAGAACTATCACAAATACAACTGTGTGTAGTAGAACTTGCAGGTGGGCCGGCTCTGCACAGCCCCCCCGCCCGAATGCCACGTTCCCAGGCCACGTCAGTCACAGGCAAAGAGACATCATGGCTGTGGGAGAGGAAGAGTGGGGCAAGGCAAGGTCACTAAGCCAGCTCAGCTCCTCAGTCGAGCTGCATTCCCTAGGGAGCAGACCTGGTTCCCGCCACTGCACCTGCCAAAGTTAGAAATGACAAACTGGAAAGACTTCTGGTCACCGTGACATCTTCAGGGACAGTGGACGAGGCTCCGCTACTTCCAGCAGAGGCTCCGTTTCTGATACTTTTCCAGAACAGTTGAACTCTTAGCACAGACGCAAAGCGGACATGACGGTGATTCTCTCCTGCCCCCTCACTCTCCTCCCTTCCTTCTCAGCAGATATTAATCCGTCAGTCCATCCAAGACCTTTCTGCAGCAGTACTGACATTGAAATCCTCAGAAACCTTCTCAACACTGCTCTAAGCAGACATCCTCTAGTCTACCATCTAGGTACAAATACTGAACTCAGCTTGGATAAAACCAGTGTAGCCCTTCAGAGTCACAGGATCTTTGATCATCAATAGGCATCTTAATGACAAAAAAAAAAAAAAAAAGACCCAACTTGGGCAAATAAGTTGTAACAAGTCACTCAGAACTTAGCAACCTGACTCTTCAGGTTGCCTCCAATGCCTAAGCTAAGAAAGCAAAACTTCTAGAACATGCTACAGGTACACAGAGAGGACAGATGGTGCAGTCCCTCCTTAGTGACTGGGATTGCACTGTCCGAATCTCATTCAACACACTGGGCAGAATTCAGTACAATGAATACCTGAGCTTTTGCACCTGTACCAAGGAACCAAAGTTCAAATTTTAGGGTGAAAAGGCAATAGGTGAAGCAAGAGCCAGAAAAGAAAACTGAGAAACCAAAGACATGAAAACAGGAATTTCAGAATTCCCCCTGACCACAGAGGCAGGCCTGTTCTCACGTAAGCCTCCCTGTGTGACGTATCTGTGGGAGAGGACCGCTGGGGACACACCTCCCTCTTAGGGCGGCTCGGACCAGTGTGCTACAGGATCTTCAACAAGCGGGCTCCTGCTCCAGAAATGACAAAAAAAAAAAAAAAAAAAAAAAAAAAAGAGAGAGAGAGAGAGAGAGGAAGAAACAATTTCCTTTTCACTAGAAAGCGAAGGCCTGGAAAGTTCTTATTCTCAGGACTCTCGCTTGTGACAGACGATCAGCTCCGGTGGGTTAAGGTCCTGGCCTTCTTTCTGGATGGCAGCAGCCTCTGTGGGCTGTCAGGTAAGATGCCACCAAGGCATTCCACCCACAGCACTTCCTTCTTTTGCAAATGAGGGTCCTGGCTGAGGGCACTTTGTACACACGTGCAGACACACGAGTGCACACGCAGAAAGGCGGTTGCCCAGAGCCCCCGATTTAGATCCTCTCTACATGGCAGAGACACAGAGACACATCCGCCCAGTGCCACTCCCACACCCTCCCAAACCCAGGGGCACCTCAGAAGGGTGGCCTGTAGGAGGACATTGTGACCCTAGTCAGCAAGCACAGGATTACGCTTGATTGGATACTATTTGCATGAGAACAACCGAATGGCCACCTTTTGCATACCTGATTGGATATCATTTGTATAAGAACAGTTGAGTGACAGCATGTGTACAAGAACACTTGGTAGAATATACAAAACAAAAGCCCAAAGGCTGTTCCCAAACACTCCTAGTCAGCCATGGCCCCTGCTGCCACCGAAACATTTCTCATAGATTTGATTTTCCACCTCTACTGCTTGGGGTCAGCTTCTCCCTGGAGTCTGAAAGAGCTGGAGGAAAACTGTAGAATAGCTCAAGTGTCCTCGAGCTGGGTCAGAGGTGGGCCCACAGACAGCACTTCCTAGCAGAGCCCCTGCATCCTGCTTGGTGGCTGCAGGCCCTGGGTCCTGTGGTCACCTGCTGTCCCCTTCACCCCACACCTGGGTCCATATGGGAGCACTGAGCAGTGTGTTGCCAGGAGTAGGGAGAGCAGCTCAGACATGGTGTGCCCCACCTCACTCCGCCCATAAGCAATCTCAGGATGGATCTGATCCCTGCCTGACCCATCCGCTATGCAGGCTGGAAAACAGAGGGGGTCCCAGTGCACTGCACTGAACAGCCTCACACCAGGGACTGGACAGACAGCACGGCCAGGCAAAGTCAGAGCTCATGCAAGGGGCATGAGCGCCAAGACAGCATCCACAGACAGCCATCCAAGCAAGAAGCAGTTTGCTCAGCACAAATGCGCTCATGCCAGCAACACAACCTGCCCAGCATGGCTACTGTCTGAGCTCTCTCCCATCCATGTGATCGGCCATTCGGAGCTATTGAATCTCCAAGTGTCACCTTTGGATCAGGTGATTGGGTGGGCACCTATGTGCAGCTGTTCTGGGCCCCACTGTAAACTCAACGGAGGTATGTGATGGGATTTGCTGAGGGCTTCAAGAGCCCACCTCAGTGTGGCAATGAACCACAGAGACTAGGGAAAGCTGCAGCGGTGCCCAGCAGTGGGTCCTGGAGTCATGAGCCCACAGGATGGGCTTATGGGCTGAATGTGTGGCGCTACAGGAAAACAGGAGCCAGTAACCAACAGCAAGCTTAAAGCCTGGGCAACTGCTGCAACTAACCAATCTGTATTGAGAAGTTGAAGACAGAAGGACAGCTTTGGAGATGGGGGATTGTGGGAAAACAGAGTTTGGGCCTGGATAATGCTCATCTTCCCATCTTTTTGGCACCCAAGGAGAGGAAGGTGACCCAGGCACTCAAGGGACAGTGTGGGGTTACAGCAAACCTGGCTAACTGCCACACTGTTGTGATTCATGCCTGAGCTTCATGGCTCACTCATTAAATCTGTACGTACACAGGGGATATCACAGTGCCCTTCCCCGTCTGGGTCCTACGAGTCCCTCCCCTTCTTATCCCCAGCAAACTCAATGGACAACTCTAAAATCTTGCTGTCTTACACCTCTCTTAATTTATTAAGAGGTGACAGTCTAGCCTGGCAGCCATAAAATACATTCAACGTGTTCTACAACAGCATGTGTGAAACACGGTTCCCATCACCAATACCCCCTGGCCTTGAACCTTCCACTTGAACACTCTCTTGAAGAGCCCAGGGACCCCACCCTGAGGCTCCCAAAGAACAGTCAGGGTGAAATGGACACTGGACAGGCACATAATCATACAGCCAGACTTTCCGAGACTTTACTCAACGCTGCAACTGCTCCAACACCGGCGCTGTGAGCTGGAATGTATAAGGGTAGCTCATCAAATTACTGGCAAGCCATGCAGAATGTCATAACCCAAAATTATGTTTCTCCAAAACACGCTACCACATTGGGTAGGAAGAAGAGACGTGTACAAGCTCTCATGTTAACCAAGATGGTTCTGAGAACTCCAAGGTAATGATGAAGTCACACTCATTCCAAAGTAAATCAACTCCAGTCCCCACACCAGAAACTGGTTTTCTGCTTAATTAACTAAGCACCACAGTAGGGGGAAGGGAAGGCCACATATAGAGAAAGAAGCCATGGGACTCCTGGCTGCAAGAAACTTACAATCTGCTCAGAGGGACAATCCCCAGATACAGAGAGTTAATCAGCAAGACAAGAAATAGCAAGCAGAATCGGATGGGCGCCAAAGGAACACTTTTGTTTTATTTACTGGAAAGATAAACATGGTCAAAACCATGCGTTTAGCTCTAAGTAGATCCATGTCCTTCTAAAACAAGCTCCCACGCTTGGTCAACAGAGCAGGTGCTGAAGCAATAACAACTTTCCCCAGAAGGCTCCAACCTTGCCGGAGGCACACCAGTCTGTTCTGAACAGTCTGCCTCCTCCTGGAAGGGGTGCCACACCCCCCTGCAGACACCAGAGCTGCCCTAAACCTCTTCCAGAAGAGAACCCTCTCTTCCAGTAACCTCATTAACACTCAGGGCAGCCAACGTCAGGAAACGCTGCTGGCCCACAGCTGCCTAGAAACTCCCCCTCTCCCCTCAAACACAACAGGATTCCTGACTGAGTCCAGGGTTCAACTGGGGCTGCCACCACCACCCCCAGAATGTAAACAAGGGAACAGTGGTATCTTTAACAAGTGAGTATGGTATTCCCAGAAACAATCCAGGATCATATTCCTGATCAAGCTCACACACGGCATCAAACAGGGGAGCTGGGAGCAGGTGTTAGGGGCAGCAGTTAACACACAACTCAAGGAACACACATCCCATGTCAAAGTGCTCATGTTCGAGTCTGGGCTTTCCCAACTTCAGCCCTTGCTAATGCGCACCCCAGAAGGCAGCTGGTGGTGGCTCCAGTACTTGGACCCCCTAGATAGGGTCACAGACATCTGTACCTCTTAAGGGATGGACCAGTGGATGGGAAATCTTTCTCTCAAAATGATTTTTTCTAATTAAAAAAAATCTTTGGCCAATAAAGTGTTATTGAAGTAGAGACACTTTGAAAAACTCTGCAATTATTTGAGGTTTAAAGTGTAAGCTTGGGACCGCTGAAACAGCCCTGAGTGAACTAAAGACATCCAGACGGGCTACAGTACGCTAAAGCATACGGAAGCGAGGCTGTGAATTTTCTAAAATGAATACACACAATGAAATGGTAAAAACCTCAGCAGAATTTAAGATCCACCAGCTTATCACTTAGGAAAGCACCATCTTATTGGAGCACTCTAAAAGGGAAAGCCTTGCAGGAGATGGTGGGGTGGGCTGCGGCGGGCCCCCTGTGCTGGCGCAAGGCGAAGAGTCTAAAGAAGCCTCAACCTCCTCCTTGTTAAGTTCTGCAGAGAAACCAAATTACAGCCAGTGCAATTCCCACACACTGCTGAGGGTGATTAAAAAAAAAAAGAGAAGCTTGAGGCAAGCCAGTGGTGACACACAGCAAAACAACTTGTTAAAAACTCTGCTCTCTTTTACTTTTGGTTCCCCAGGATCTACCCCCAAGAGAACAAAAAAAGGGACAGAGACAAAGATGTACACACAAAGATGGTGGCCACAGGGTCCTTCAGAAGAGCAGAAACAAAGGGGATCACCTCAGGCCCAACAACGTGGCACTGATTAGGCGAATTGGGGTATAATTGTGTTAGGGACTGTTACGTGGTCATTAAAAAGCCTTAAGAATTTTAATGGGAAGTGCTTATTAACTACAGCGATTTTCATTTTAAATAAATACAAGATGAAATATTGAGCACTACTACAAGCCCAAGGATGTCAAAAAAAACAAGCATAAATATTAATATGCTCAGAGGAGAAAAGTCTAGAAGGAAATGCACCAATAATTATTCATCGTGTAATTTCTCAGTGCTGAGACTGGCGGGGGGCGGGGAGATACTCACCAAACAAGCCACAGGATTGAGGAAAACCCCCATCTCCCAATTCATTTCATTTGCCTTAGAGGTGAGCATTTTTATCCAAAAGCAGCCATTCCCATTCTTGAGTTTATGAAATCAGTGCATGGAGACATGGATTCCATCAGAGCATGTGGTGATGGAGGGGGCTGAGATGATATTAATCCACAAACATCCAAGCCTTGAATTTGAGGCATATACAAAACTAGACAGCCAAACACAAGGTCAAGGATGGAGTGTGTATCAAGGAGACAGATTCCAGCTGACCTGCAGGATCGACCCCTCTCTACATGGCCTATCCTTAAGGCACTACAGGACAGCACAGACGGCAGGCAATCACTTCCAGGTGAGGAAAAACCCTGATCTGGTATGTAACCCTAATATTCAGGGCCTTCGGCTAAGACCACACTGCCTTCTGGGTAGGATATCTCTTCTTGCCATGGTGCTCGGTGGCCATGCCACAGGCCCAGACCCCAGGAACCATGCAACTTCTCCCCTTCAAGGTGGGTTTCCTGGGAGGAGGGGGTCGGCTTGGCAACATGGCCCACAGACACTGCTAGGCCTGATAGTACCCACTCCATTCAGAGGAGTGCTTAGCCTGTAGAAGGAATCATTTGTTCCCCAACCCCCGAAAGAGTAACCTGGTTGCCTGATTCTTCCTAGCCAGTTCTCCCAGCTGGCCGCTCTGGGCTCTTTCCCAGCATGCTCACAGTGGTCGGGAGGGTGGTGCCGCATGCTGGGGAGGCGGCCAGGCCTTGCTGTGGCTCCCCGGCGCCACTCCCACAGCTGGGTAGATGCAGGAGGAGCTGGCACATGCCCTACAAGGAGGATACTGGGAACCACAACAGGCACCCAGCTCTGCTGGGCCCCTTGGAGGCTCCATCCTCCCTTTGTGCCAGGGCAACCTTCTCCTACACTGTAAGCAATCCCCACACAATCCCCACACCGGAGAGTAAATCTGTGATTCATTCAAGGGGGGAGTGCTCTCTTCAAGGGCAACTCTTCCATCTCAAACCTATTTCCCATTCAGAGAATGACACCCCATCACCTGCCCTCCTAAAACTCGAATCCCTCATTTGTCATTAACTTCCGCTGATACTCCTGTGAATCTCTTTCACTCTCCCCCCGCCAGCTGTTCAACACAAGCCACCAATGGGAGTGATTCAAGCCCCAATAATGCCCAATTATCCAGCATCCCACCTCTGGTCCCTCCCTAAACCACCCTACCTGACCTCAAGGTCAAAGAGTTCTCCTTTAGGACTTTAATCCGGATTTTTCACTCTATCCCACTCCTCCCGTAACTACCTAGGTAACCCAACAGATCCTTCAGATCACATTTTAAATGTCACTTTCCCATAGAGCCATGCAGGCCTGGTTGTACTTTCCCAGCCCTATGTTCCCTCATGGCATCTGGCATGGAGCCTCCAGTGCAGGTGAGGCCGCAAGGGTCTCCAGGTGCTCACAGCACAAGCCTAGGCCCAGGCAACCCCTGGCCAAGAAAGGAGAGCACAACCCATGTCCAACAAGCATCAAACCACAGCCCAAGTTGGGCCAAGGGAGAATGCTCAAGGTAGCTGTCTCTGATCAGCTCTGAGTCAGCCCCTCTTAACTCTCCAGAAAGCAGCAACAGCACGGTTCTGCCCTGCCTCCTGAGCAGATACGCAAATGTCAGCCACATCACAGCAGAGACCCCTTGAAGTCCTGCCCGCCATGCAGAGCTGCTGCAGCATCTTCCGCTGGCTCTTTCAGCATTACAAGCAGGAACGGCCCAAAAAGTCCAGGGCCTGGTCTGGCAGCCTTTTGTTCCTGGGACGCAAGTTTGCTTTCTTATCCCACTTTTCCATGCTCATTACACAACAAAACACACAAGACCAAGAACCACCAGAAATCCACCCAGAGGTAAAACTCCACATGTACTTCAAAAGGAAACCCCCAAGAAAAAACTGTAGGAACTTTTGAAGCCATTTGCTATTTTGTAAGATATATACTCTACCAAAATACCACCGTTTGGGGTACAGAATCCTTTCTTTTTTTTTTTTCCTGTTCACAAAGGAAGTTAAATGAAAGTCTTTGTGCTGCCAAGGCCCCCAGGGTGGTACCCAGGGAGCAGTTCCTAACCCCCCAGCTTACCACCGGCTGGAGGCCCAGACTGACTCACATGCTAACTGGAATTCATTTTCTAAGGGGAGCCAAGAACCATTTAAAAAAAATTTTTTTAATGCTGCACAGAGGAAAAAACGATCTAGTTATATGACCACAAAATGGGGTCGGGAGTGGGGGTGACCTCGGAACTTGTGGCCAATGTCTTCGGGACTTTAAAGTTTGTAGGAAATGGGAAAAGAGGGAGGCGAGGCTGGCAGAATTCTGGAGTAAATTCCCATTTCGTGGCCTGCCAATCAAGAGCTCATGCGGGGGTGGGGGGCACGACTTCCTAACACTCCCACCCCCAGCACAACTGAAGAGCCCCTGGGTTATAAGAGCTAGGATGCCATCCCAGCTATAGGGGCTAAAATTTGTGGCATTTGTTTCTTAATTTAAATATGATTGGAGAACATGAACTCAACTGGTGAAGAACATTTATTCTACACATCAATTTTTTATAACGTGGTAACCCACATACCACATGAAAAAAATCCAATCACATTAAAATACCCTGACAAAATGCTTTAAATTAAGATTCTGCCCCAGATGGATACTGGAGAAAGTTACTCTCCTAGCAGTCCAATGATTACTCACAGAGAACACTTCTCTATTTTCAGAGTGAAACATTAGGATACTTATGAAACAGCTTGGCCCCAAAGTTACAATAAATCCAAGCTTCAGAGAAATTAGGAAGCAGTCCTTAGGCAATTATTTTGAAACATGTCTGGTGAAAGAAACACTGTGATGTGACAACCTTGTCATTTCACAGAACAAGGAAAAAACAAAGTGTGAGGAAAAGACTCTAGGGAGAAGCCAGCCTCGGTGGGCCATCCCACGTGAACATGAACCAGACTCTGTAGCCAAGGCTGATCTGCTCCAAAACCAAAAGGGCATACTAGCCAACACTCAGAGGGTTTCCTTTACAGATACAGGAGTCTGAGACAACGGCTCGTGTTGGGCGGCACAGAGTCCCACGTCCATGCACAGGAGATGATCAGCGGTACATGGATCTTCAATCTGAAAAACGACAGGGATCAGGTGCAGAGGTCTGCCAGCCCCAGCCTTTCTTCTACCCTACTTCTCCAGCTCCCTGTAATTCCCTCTCCCAACACCTGTCTCCTTCTCAATGCGCTGTCCAGCGAAGACCACAAAGATGTTCAAATGAAGGCCAGCTGCCTCTTCTACCCAGTCTCCACTGAGGTGGGACCTATGTCATCTCCTCACTGTTTAAGGCTCAGGCTGTAGCAAGTATTCTTGCAGAACTGCAAGGGTCCTGGAAACAGGGGGCAGGCACTATACAACCAGCAGGGGGGCAGGTCCACTCTGAACCCACTGTAGGATATGGGTTTTCTTTCTGTGCTCAAGCAGAGGTTTCTAAAAAGTTTAGAAGATCCTTTCCTAGTAGCTATACAAATGTGGGGAAGTCCTATCAAGCATTTTCCAAAGCAGACAAATGAACTTCAAAGCCTACAGGGCAGGTGTAGCGGCAAACCACTGCCAGTAATGCCTGCACCCTTATCAGAGTGCTGGTTCCCATCGCGATTGCTCTACTTTCGATCCGACTTCCTGCATCTACCTCCTAGGAGGCAGCAGGCGATGATGACATTGCCCACCTACATGGGAAACCTGGATGGAGTTTCAAACTCCTGGGCTGTGACCTGCCCAGCTCTGCCTATTTGGGGAATGAACCATGAGATGCCAATATTTGCTTTCAAGTAGAGGAAAATAAATAAACATCAACAAAATGTTTTCCAAAGCCTGTGCTCACAGTGGGAAAGTCAGGAAGCTTAAGTGAACCAGTCAGGCAGTGCCATTTTGTCCTCTAGCACTCTAAACTGTCATATCTGTTGGGTTATTAAGTCTTTGTATGTGATTAAGAACTTAAAAAAAAAAACATTATTTTTACTGAAAAGGCAGATACAGAGAGAAGGAGAGACAGAAAGACCTTACATCTACCGGCTCACTTCCCAAATGACCACAACAGCCAGAACTGAGTTGATCTGAAGCTAGGAGCCAGGAGCCTTTGCCAGGTCTCCCACAAAGGTGCACGGTCCCAAGGCTGTGCTGTGGGTCATCTTCTATTGCTTTCCCAGGCCACCAACAGGGAGCAGGATGGGAAGGAGAGCAGCCAGGACACAAACCTGTGTCCATAAGGGATCACGGCACTTGAAAGAGGAAGGATTAACCAGTAGAGCCATTGTACCAGGCCAAACTTTCTTTTATTCAATATGGCATTCACTTTCCTAAGAGAAGCCTGCATGAGAAGCCCAATGCAGCCACTGCCTTACACTCCCCATTGGCAGCCAGTTCCCATCCCAGAGCCCACTATGGAGGCTTCCTTCCACCTCCAAGATCTGTAGCCACTCCTTGTTCCAGCCGCTAACACAGCACATGGCACTGGGCAGCGTCCTTTCGACGTCTTTGGGCCTCCATTTCCTTTTCTGAGAACATGTTGGGGGTTGGGGCCTAACGGTTCCGAAGAGTCAAGCCTAAGTTATAGGAGTTATAAGAGTCTGCTACAGTGGGGCTGGAGGCAGGGAGAAGCTTCTAGCAAAGGCCAGACTTCTTTCTTTCCACACAGCCTTCTTGCTACATGTCTCATTTCTACTATGAGAGAATGAGGCACTTATCATGGATGACAATTCAAGATGTGCTTTCACGGAAATAATTTTGTGATATGTACACCCATATACAGCAGAGGCCTAAACTCATTAAATTATACTCCATTACAGCAAGCAACAAAATGAGGGAACAGTTAGGCTGAAATTTGACAGATTGCATTTTAGATTCTTCTACTAAGGAAAATTAATTTGCAATTTTTACAAATTTTAAGTAACACAGAAGCAAAAAATATATTAATGGATAACATTTTATGATACTTAAATTAAAAATACATGAATTTGTTTCCTGTTTTGCATAATTCTACCTGTCATGAATTCATTATAAAAATACGCCTCCCATTAATAATTTCAAAAGTATGAAGTCCAGCTCATGATACAAATACATGCAAGAGAATCTTCTAACAACATGGGGCTAACTTCTCAAGAGGTTAATTTATAAATTCTGCTTTAAGAGCCTACAAAATCCCAAGAAAGTACATTAAAAATATATGCAGACACACATTTTATGCTGTATTCTCTTAGTAATGAAAACAAATGTTCTTTATGTCAACACACTTTCAAAAACACAGACATACACAGTCAACTTAATTTCAGCCCATGTTCATTTCTACTCTTGGATTACAATCAGCCAGCCCAAATCAAGTTTTCCAACACTGGTGTAGAATGTAACTTTTCAGCAGATACAGGAGGGTGCCATGGATCAGGGGATGGGGACTCCTCAAGACCAGGGGGCTTCTCAGATCTCTAGCTCATCTCCCCTACCCACGCTTGTCGATGTTGCCTGTGACAACATTTTTTGTCCGTTCCAAAGCACACCGATTGTGTCCCACTAACTGGAGCCCGCAGCGCTAGATTCTAAAGCAACACCATGGACAAAAGGCTAGGAGGAAAGTTCATAAAATTCCCAGGTGGTCTACAATTGCCAAGATCCAAAAACAGAAAACGAGTCTCTTTAAGATATATATACCACATTCACAAGGATTCCAAAAACAACTATTAAAGGAAAAGAAAACTAACAGACAAGGCTTGAAGTCTTCCAAGGAGTGGCTGATCCACTATCCCATTCCTCCCAGCCCAGGCAGCCAGGTCTCAGGGAGGTTACTTACAACGATGTGAGCAGGAGACGGCGAGCGGGCGTCCTTGAGGGCCTGTCTGCTCTGCAGGCCCCCTGCCTGGACATCAAGCAATGGCCATTTCATCTGCAGGTACTGGAGGGAGGAAACAAAAAGAGAATGGAACACGATGAATTCAGACCAGAAACACAAAACAGCTTGCCCAACAAACAACAGGTGCACAGGTCAGAAGCTGAGAAACTCAGAGGCATGCAGGTAATAACAAAAGGAAAACCATGCGATTTCAATGAGCTCTTCCCTTCGGATTCAAGTTCCATAGGCCCACACAAGAGCACTTGAAAACTGTGTGGAAAATGGAAGTAAAAACAAGCTTATTTTAGTGCAAAAAAACTTTTGAAATCCATGCTCATTGGGGGTGTCCAAAAAGTTCAAGAGAAATGAGTATTATGAAAAAAAACACAAAACCAGATTTCAAAACTTCCTTGCACCAAAACTAGCTTTCCAGAACATTTTTCCACAACCTTCTGAAGTACCCTTGTATGATAGAATAGACACATCACTAGCAACTATAGTTCTGTTCTTGCATTCAAACTACAGGGTGGCTTCGGATAAAATTATTTCAGTAATGCTACCTTATATTCAGAGGGAACAGGGAGAGGATGGAAGGGAAGAGAGGAGGGAGCCCAGAGCTATTCCATAGACAGGAAGCAAACACAAATTACAAGTCACGGGTATTCCAGGAAACCATCACTTAATTCCAAATTTGCTCTCAATGACTTCCCTCTTTATTTATCACCTATACAGATGCACAGATTAAGAAAATGAGACAGAGAGACAACAAAGGAACAGAGAGAGAGACTTCCCTTCCCCTAGTTCACAACCCACATGCCCGATATAGCCAGGACAAGGCCAGGCCAAAGCCAGGAGAAAAATTCAAGCTAAGTATCCCATTGGGTAGTGGAAACTCCATTACTTGAGCTACCATTGGTTGCCTGCCCTGGTCTGCATGAATAGGAAGCTGGAATCATGAGCTGGTGCAAGGAATCAAGCTCAGGTACTCCAATGTAGGACATGGGTATCTTAACTCATGTATGAACTGCTAGGCCAAACACCACTCTCTCACCCATCATCCTTCACTACAAAGAGGCGAGCAGATTTGTGCAACCATCCTTTGTATGGTTGGAACTGCTCATTCCAATCCATAGGCTTAAGAGGACAAAATAATTCCTTGGCAATAGAGGCACATCCAGAGGCCAAGGCCACTTGACCAAAAGACCAGGTTTGCCACAGAGATACACATAGGGAGCTAGGTCTCCCTAAGATTTCTTTGAAGGTAAGAAATGAATCCATGGGACAAGACTGGTCAGTTCTGTCAAAAGGGATTCATCAGCGTTCAAAGGGATTGGATTCAACTCCTCGTTTTGCAGACAAGGAAAACTGAGACACAATGACTTAGTCCCAGGGATAAGTACAGCCCAGGCTTCCACCTTCGTCAGTGACATTACAGCAATCTCACTCAGAAAAACGTCAGACCACCAAACGAAACTTAGAACACTCGGGACTTCCCTGCCAACTTTCGGGCCTCCAAAGCAACTGATTAATGAATGTCTCCGTCAACACTCAGATGACATGTAAGAAGCCATTTTGATCATTTCAGAAACTCCAAGCATAGTAAGTGCCAGGTTTGGTATTAATTCTACAGAAAATGTCACTCAGTGAACAAAGACTCACTGTGCTTTGTGTACAACCTTCTTACTAAGCTTTCCATGGAAATGGAAAGTTGCCTGCCTTGGGGGAGCTTATGCAGGAGAGAATCTACATGCATACACACACAAGACAAACCCAAGCAGGATATTGCAAAGATGAATGGAGATCCAGGACCTCATGCCTAGGCCACGACAAGAATGAAGACAGAATTTCTGAGAAAGAGACTGGGGAAGATTGTGGAGTGTGTCTTGGTAAATTAGAAAGATTTTTAGTAGGAAGAAAAGCGGATACAAAAGGCACTCTAAAAAAGAAGTGTCTACACAAATCCGTTGAGAGATAGACACAAGAATCAAAGCTATCCATAGCCAGACCAGACCACAAGTTTCTCCAAGACACAACTGTTCATTGAATTGAAATGAAACTTCGTTATCCATAAAAGCTAGAAGATGCCAGCCATGAGCCAGTGGACTCTTCCCAAGGCAAGGTGACTGGCACCGGCTCTGTTAGTGACAATTAAAGGCCTTGCATCAAATCCCTTTTCCTCTCTGTATCTCCAGGTTTTGGTCCTCAGTTTTGAAAGTTTTGTGCTATTTGTGATAGGGATGCGGCTGGAAGTCTACCGCAAAAACGAGGGAATCCTAGGATTCAAGGCCTTAAAACAGAGAAGGGGCCACTCAGTCATCATTGTGACCATGTGCAAAATACCTGCTTTGGGGACAATGTCACCCCAAATTTGAAGTAAACATTTCAGAAGTCCCTCCCAGACCTGTAACCCCAGTCAGAGGGCTCCAGGGATCCATTTTGCCCTGTCTTCCCATTCTTACTAGCCACATAAATATGTGGACTACATTGGTCAAAACCACTCAATGAGAGCCATGCCCTCGAAGTCAACTAAAACGATGGACATCTGCCAACAACACCACGCTCACCTCTCGGTCTCACGGACTTGGGAGCAAAACTACTGCTGGGCTGAGCAGACCCACAGCTAACACTCACGCTACCAGCTCGGTGGGGAAGTCATATGGGTGGACATGTTTCCAACCAGAGCCATCTGCAAGAGGATTGGATGACGTCCAAATGTTGGCTCCACACTACAAAACTTAAGCTTTTGCTTAAGGGGGTAGACCTGCCCTGAGGACTCCACCCGAGAACTGTCATGCCCATAATGCAATATTAATGCCAAGACTATTAATTCCTACTTTACATAAAAGCTTCATTGTGTGCCACATTCAATCTCCATAGGCTACCTGCACCACATATTTTTACGGGCCTACATTTCAGCGCTCCAAGCCTACAATACACATAATTTTCAATTATGTTAGGGCAGCCCAGGATCACTGCCTATATAACATTACTGGTCGGAGGAAATGAGACTCGGCCCCACTGCCCAGAGAGCTCTAACCGAATCCAGATGGCGCAGGGAGACAGCCCCAGTCTCGCCGGCTCACAAGGACCCTGCACTGACAGCCCAAACTCTCCTTAGACTGTGCAACATGATGCCACAGGTCAGCTGGGCACCCGCAGACCCGGGCCTGGCCTAGGACTCTTAACTGGCATTTCTGGCTCACAAGGCTCCTTTTGGAGAAACAAGCACCACGTCAAGACCGCTTAAAGGAAGCGATTAACCTTCTCGAAAAGTGATGGGTTTCCCAGCTTCCTCCATCGACAATTGGTCCTCATTAATGGGGGAAAATAAATAAATAAAGGGAAGAGAAAGGAAATTAGCTACTATTACAGCCCAGAGGAAAATCTTTTCCTTCCTGGAGACATTAAACAGCAGGAAATTCTCCTCTGTTGGGTCCTTGAGGAAGACCTGAAGGGGGCGGCGGCTCAGGTGGACAGAAGGGCTGGCGTATGCCACTCCATTTCCCAGCAGTGCAAACTCGCATGTCTATCCCTGTGAGGAAGGAGGGTGGGGGCGGGGGAGTTCCCACCAGCCCTCTGAGAAAACACAGGACTACAGCTCTCTTCCTCTCGGGCTACTCAACGTGGAAATTATGAATTGCCTAGAAAAATACTCAACTTTTCAACAAACTGCAATCGAAGCAGGCTGTGGGAATTCCTGCACTGGAAACTGCTGAAATGAAGTCAACTCAACTTGTGTTTCATTTGAGGCAAAAAAAAAAAAAAAGGCCAGGCCACTGTGGCAGGAGCATTTATTTCATCCTTCGGGTACAACTGCGTTCTGATCACAGCATGCTAAGGTTTCTCTTCCCCTCATATTTTTATGCTATGTCCCAGGAAGCTTAAGTTAAGCTCTGGACCTATGGGCAAAACCTCAAAATGAATGTGACACTTGTGGCCCAGAAGAATCCCAAACAAGCTGCCAGACCTAATGAAACTGTCAGCGAAGAGGAAGAGCGGAGCGTTGCTCATTTCTTCTCTTCTGCCTCCCCCAATCACAAGGGAGAAGTGGAGGCCAAGGGTTAGTGAGGACTTTGCACATCCGGGCTCCTGCAGGACACTGTTGGGCAGCAGGCGGCACCTCCTGCGGTGAGCCTGATCCCTCCAAGGCCACCTTCACACCTGCCGAGCTGTCACTGGCAAAACCCACCAGGGATGAAGATGAGGATGGGATGCCAAAGAGGCCAGGAAACTTCAGTTTTTCCTGATTGAACACCTGCACAGTATCTAGTGCCTCCTTTCATTCACGCAGTCACAGATGGGCAGGTATGTGCGGGGGAGGGGGTTTCTTTGTCATTTATCTGCTCAGGGTGAGATTGGCACACTTCTCCTGGGAGGTACAAGTTGAGCAAAGTGTTCCAGACTTTCTCCTCTTCACCCCAGACGCCTGCCACTGTGAACCCAGTGGGACCTGGCGATGAAGCTGAAATCTCAGTTTCACACAACTCTGTGTCCAGAAGCAGTTGTCATCTTGTCTGATTTTTATTTTCCAACTTTCTAAAAAGCAGTACCATTCATGCCCCTAGCTCCATGAGACACCCAGAACAGGTGGGAAACTTGTGTGGGCACATGGGTAACAGCCCGTAAAAGCTCAAGGGCTGGGATGTCCAAACAGCCAAACATGAACACGCTCATGAGGCAAGGTGTGGCATCCCAAAGATGGATCTCTTATCCCAACTCGATCACTGTGAACTGCACGGTCACTGGCGGACTCAAGCGCTGAGGGCGGTGGGGGTGGGCTGGGAAAGAATCCAGCCCTCTGGTGGAGACATCCAGTCACAAGGTCCAACCACCAGGACCACAATCTCACAGAAATAACTACCCCTCCTTTCTAAAATGGAAGTTTCCGAAATCCTTGAGCCATTCTGACTGGAAAAGGCCCACGTGGTCCAAAGGTGGCGGTGGTGATGCAGCCTACATCGCCAGATGCCCACAAGGGGATCCCAGGTCCCCCTTCCAGAAGTCCAAGGAGAAGTGTTCCAGTGTTCTGGGGCCAGACACTCCTCTCCCCAGAGCTTTCCCAA